CAATAAAGTACAATAAAAACGTCTCTGGGGCTCGAATCTAAGCGTCGATCGCCCGTCGCGAAGCAACGGGAGAAATAACGAACCCTGAGAGCTTTTTTTAATGTTCCACCGCCTGCTGTTCGTACGATGAATCAGGTGGAGTGCTTGTACCATCGATTTCGCAGAGTAACACTCGGGATTCGTGAAACGGCTCCTTGAATCGGAATTACAAAGCAGCCTTTTCGTCCAACTTCTCTCAGGAAGTTGTTCAACGTCGAAGTCGTATCAATGATCGCAGTCGCGATCAAGATTCGAGCTCGGCGTCGAAACCGTTTCCCTTATCGGGAAGACTAACAAGCCCCGGTCGAAATTCCTCCTTATTTGTTCTTTCGAGACCTCGCGTCGACTTCTTCAGCCTCCTCGGTGTCAGACAAAATTAATTAGCCTATCATCGACGTCTCGTCGATCTTGTTGGAAGACGATCGGTAGCTTTTTGCAGTAGAAACGACGCCTCGACCGTCTAGACGAGTTTTTCCTTGATCTTTATTAGTTCGTGAACCGTTTCTGATTTATAGTATTTGAAGCGTGTACTAAGAATTTCGACCAGTAAATCGCAAATTACAGTCCACCGACGGAAATTCAATGCGCATTAATCGTCGTGCGAGTAACATCAACAATCAGTATTCGAAATTTCGCGAGATAGACCGCCTGGAAGCTGTGACAATCAACGCGATTCAATCGATGAGATTTATTAGACACGGGGTTGAATTCGTGGAAAGCATGCATCACGACGGACAATCCCAGCTTTCGGTGCACATTGTATACAGGGTGTTCGGCCACCCCTGGGAGAAATTTTAATGGGAGATTTTAGAGGCTAAAATAAGACGAAAATCATGGATACTAATTTGTTGATTGAGGCATCGTTAAAAAGTTATAGAAACATTCCCGACCATACAGCATATTTTCGGAAAAGAATTTTTTTCTCGAAAGTACGTAGGATTTCGGGGGTATGTCTATTGACAAAAAATGATTGTAATTGACCCCTGCAAACAGAAATAATTTTTCCAGAACGATTTGAAATTTTTTAGCACCGACTCACTGTCGATTTTTCTTAAGAATTCATTTTTGATTTTTAGTAATTTTGTTTGACGCCCTATAGAAAAGTTATCTAATACTTTTCTGTGGGTACCCATGAGCTCTACTTCAGAAAAAAGTTTTATTGAAATATACTCACTATTGCAGGAGTTATGGAATTTATTATGAAATTTCAGTGAAACATATCAATGTATGGTCAGACATTATATTTTTCGGTAAGGAATTTTTTTCTTGAAAATGGGTAGGATTTCGGGGGTATGTCTATTGACCAAAAATGATTGTAATTGACCCTCGCAACCAAAAATAATTTTTTCGTGAATGATTTGAAATTTTTTATTTTAATTTTTTAATAACTTTTTAACGAGGCCTCGATCAACAAATTGATATTCTTGATTTTAGTCTCATTTTGGACTCTAGAATCTCTCATTAAAATTTTTCCCATGCGTGGCCGAACACCCTGAAATCAAAATCGAAATCCATTAGAAATTTTTCGCCGGCCAAAAGTCCGCGAAAAACGATTCGTCTCTGCCAGTTCTGTCACGGTGATTTAAATTCGATTTCTCGATCACGGTGCAACGCATTTTTTAACTAATTCCATTCTTGCCCATCGCGGATGGGTACAGTTTTAGCATTGGAACGGGAACGAGAGGTTTCTGACAGACGTTAATGCTTTTCGACGCAACCGTAATGAAATGAACAGGCGAAATGCATTCGAATTTGACAAATGGTATCGCGACGCGTCGAAAAGTTTCGACCACCCTCGATTCGCGCGCGAAAGTAGACGGGGGCGAATATGCAGTCGATTCTGTCGCCTTTTTGTGGCGGGAATATTGCTTCTTTTCCGGAAGAAAGTCGAGAAACCAAATGACAGGGAATACCTTCTTATCGAATCGTTCGTTTTTCCGCGTGCACGAACTGTATTTAAACGCATACGCCCGGAAGTAGACTGGAATATATGAGAAGCTGCATGAAACGTCGAAGGTGACGTTTGATCTTGACTCGTTCGATACAAGGTTCCACCTACGCGTGTCCAGGGGCGGATTCCAGAAGGCTCTTGCAACATTCGAAACTCGCCCATAATTTATTTACGTCGTAAATGTTCTAAAATTGTCTTTCGAGCTCCCAGATTGTTGCTTCTTCGCCGTGGAAGCTAATTTTATCGAACGACGAAGTCAAAATTTAGTCGATATATACAGATTCTGTATGTGAGAATTTGAGCTCGGTTATGCCGTGAAATAATACTATTAATTTCGGGGAATAACTCGCTCAGGGTTGAGCGAACTTTCCTCCCGTATACTTTGGAATATCCGGGGACGAACAACTCGCAGTATGTCTCGACAGCTTCTTGCAGGAATTTCCGAACCGGCAGCTGCCACTGTTAGCTATTACGTAGCGCGTGTACGTCAAAACTGCGACTCCTCGCGAGACTCGTGACATTCGATTTATGGGATTCGACTTTTCCGATGCTGCACGCGTAACAGTAGAATTCCACGACGTGAAAGCAAGTCGTTATTATTTCTTTAGAAACTTACATAAGAGTGGTAGAAATATATTAATTATCGATTTACGCGACAGAGAATCACGATCAGTAGTGAAATAAACTATCGAGAAAATTCCGAAAAAATACAAGATGCGTTAAAAATGAAGTAGAGTATACTATTTAGTTAAGAATTTCAAGAGAGAGATACACACGTAGTACTGATAACGACGATGTTCGTTTTTAACGAGCCGGTACGTCATGCTGAGATACGCGAGTTTGGTTAGAACGAGCAAAGAAAATACGGGAGTCAGCGAATTTCTCTCCAAGAGGGTAATATCTTCGCGATAAATTACCCTCTTTACTCGTTAACTCCGAGTACAATGCTGTCGGGATCCCGGTATCCACGGTTACGCCGCTGCGTTCCTTTCGTACAAATCCGAACTTCCATCGCAGCAGTCTGTTTAGCGTGCAGCTTCGCTTAAAGAAACCACCCTCCACCCTTTTCTCGCCCGTCCGATTACCACAACAATACGAAACTTCGTGTTTACCCCGGATTGGGCCAATTCAAACTCGACATCAACACCGCTTGTACCACTCTCGTCGATCGATAGTGTTCTCATCGGCGAGAAAACCCTTAACAATTCTTCCAACAACCCTCTGGGCGATCCAACAGATCCAAACTATAGAATCTTTAGAAGCATTCAATCAACTCTGTATTTTAAATAATCAAGACGCGACTTCTTTTTTAACACATTTTCTTAACATTCCGAGCGCGCAGAATATTTTAATATTATAGCTGCGGGGGTAGGAATACCTCGGTCATGGAAAAGAGCGAAGTCCAACAATGCTTTGAAGGACTCGCGTCCACAAAAATCCTCTTCCGCGAGTCGAGGATGGTTCGATCCGCGAGGAGTGGGCGAGCTTTTAAAATTCGATCGCAGATAGTTTCAACGGGAGCTTGGAATTCCGTTACTCGGTCGACGGTTTCGAAAAATCGAACCGCCAAGACCAGGGTAGAAACAAGGAGTTCAAATCAGGTTACAAGTTCTTGATTAATTTTTGTGCACCGACCCTCCCGGATCCGGCCGATATAATTAAATTCCAAGAGCAAGTTTGGAAAGTTTCGCGATCGGTAATATCTCATGTTTGGCCGCGGGCCGCGGGATACAAATTTCGAGGGGCAGGATGATAGAGGAGAGAAAAGCGGCATTTAATCACCGTATCGGGTCGAATGTGTATTCGAACGGACGCGCTCCTTCCGCGTCGAAACCATCGAAAGATGGATGCTGCGATCGCGTGCCCCGAGCTGGACGAATCTAATTAACCCGCCGAAATGGAATCTAGCTGAATTACGAGGCCACGTAATCCGCGAGGCTCTCCCGATCGAATCGCGGTATCCAGTGCCAAAAACGTTGTCCTCCCCCCATCAGAACCGACATTAACCCCGTTGTTAATGAGACTGGGAGATTTTATTTCGTTCTTCCGTCCCCGGCCATCTTTGTTTCCACTTTCGTCCCCCGGGTCGTTTAGTTCACCGAGGAACAATCGAGGGATAAGAAAGGAAAGGAGAAAACGTGCCAGCATCGCGACGAAAATGAATTGCGACTCCGAGGCTCGCTAATGAATTACACTGTCACTTTATACTTTTCCCTAATTAATGGACGCCGTCTATATTAAGCGCCTGGAACGTCGCTGAATCGCTTCGCGTCTCTTCGTTCCTTTCTCTGTTCGGTCTACGGATTCTACGATTTTTTTTTGTCTTTTATCGTTACGCCTTGGAGGAATCTGTTCTTGGAGCGTGTACGATCCCCGTTAGAAATCCGCTTCTCTCGTCCTCGTTAGTCGAAGACGCGTCATAAAAGGGGGAGCTTTCGAAGGGTAGCTCCGGACACATGTTTGTAACGGCGAAAACGGTTTTTGGAAGATTTACCAGACGTTGCTGATCGCTATCACCCTCGCAGAACGCGACACCCTTCTTCGTTGAGCGTGTTAAAGGGTGCTTCTCGTCGCGATTAGGCTCGCTGATTGGTTTTTTCAAATATTGACGATTACCAATCGGTCAGTACTAGGATAATACAAGGGTCGGTAATATAATTATTGGGCTAACTAAATAGTGTGAAGATTTGATCTGTATTCACTGCACTACACTAGTTAGACAATTTAATATTTACACGTTTCTCGGTTTTCATACTTATTAATTAATCGAATACAGCAAAGTAAACTATAGACACTCGAGATCCCAGAAGTTCAAACTCGTCTCTTTCTTCGCGAATATTTCCACGTTAATTTCCACGAAAATGGAGCCCCCGATGCTGATGCACGAAACAACGAAGTTCCCGGGAAGAATCGCATTAAACGCGACCCGTATTTTACATGTAATGTTCCGCATAACTCTTTATAATGCCACCCCATGGAAGTAAATAAGAGATGACGAAGACGCCGCGGCTTTTAACGAACGCAACACCGAGTATACGTTACGGTTTAACGAAAACGAATCGCTGTTCCTGGCGCGATAATGAATTCAAATCGATTCCCTTTCTTTAAGAGGTGCTCGCGAAGACCCGGAACGATCGCGATCTCGAGGGATCGATGGTACCCGCGAGAGATCTACGGTGCACAACGGGCCAGCGTTGATTTACTCTGGCGGTCGCGTGGAATAAATTCCAAATACCGCGGCGTTCCTCGAATTTTACGATTTATCCCCGAGTTAAACAGATTTATTTGCAAAACACGCGAACGACCGGTGGTGTACGCGTATCGCGCGAATAAAATCGCACTACGCGCGCGTCGTATCGCCGGGTATAAACAAATAATACCGTTCCCGCGAATACCAATCGAGCAAATAATTTTATCCCATAAATCGCTCGCGCCTCGTCGAAGCCCGAACGAGCGATTTCAACGCGACTTTACGAACGCGTGTTTACCGATATCGCGGCGTAAAAAATGATACTAAAGGGAAAAGAGATCTGGAGGGCTGTTCGAAATAAAAACAGGGGGTCGAAGAACGCGCCGGACGAACGACGACCATTCACGAGCACTCGTCTTTGGACGAGAACGCATGATTCTCGCGGGATTCCTGAGCCTTTCGACGCTCGTTGGAGCTCGTATCGTTCTTGTTGATGGCGTCGTCGGATGTCGCTGGGACGCTGATCACTTCCGTTAGTTGCATCGCCGTGGCGAACCTCAACGCCTGAAAACAGAGTTGCAAATCGTCAGATTCAGGATTCGACTTTTACTTAATTAGAAATTGTAGAAAATATATCTATATGGGGCAAAGGAATTTCGATGGGATTATAAAAATAGGGTTGCACAGCTGGGGAATCGAAATTTGCTCGAAAGTTGGGATCGATAAGTTTACGAGTATAAATTACGAATGATACGGTCGCTCGCGAGTACATTTGGACGAACTTTGCCATCGTATTAAACTGCATCGAATTTATCGAACACTCGTCTAAATTATAATTCGCTGCACGTGCGTTTCGATGCATAGGTAATCCGCGATTTTAAAAACTGGGACATGCTCGGTAGTTCTCTAACCGAAGATTCAGAAAATTAACGCGGAAGACTATCTCTCGACGATATAATTTTGGGAAATAGCTAGTGAAACATGACGACAATCATTCCTTCACGATGCACACCATTATTTCGTTTCTAAATTAATGTAAATTGCGACGAATTTCTGAATTTCTGATCGATTAATTAATCGAAGGTAATTGGTCGATCGATGTCCAGCTCTGTCTCGTAGATCGAATTGGTCGATAGGAAGTATGCGAGCGGAACGTCGGCGCCGCTCGGACTTCAACCCAGATCAAAGTAATCGCTGGACGTCGATCTGACCAGACCGACGCTCCGTAGTCTTCCCTATAGATACGAAATATGCGTCGGGAACGTCGGCGCCGCGTGGACTTCGACCGAGATTGAGGAAAGTCGGACCGTTTCCCGTAAACTTGGTTTAAAACTTTTATTCGAACATGACTATTTTATATCCACAAATATCGAAACAACTGTTATCCTCACAAGTTATTCGATACACATAATTCTATTTGCAAACTGATTCGAACAATTCCTATCCTCTAGCAACGGAGAAAGATTTTCGCGTTGTGTAATATAATTTAAATATTTTATCTCTTGAATAAAACTTTCCATTCAACGTCAGTATAATATTTTTACGTTGGAGCGAACCGAAAATGTAGGATAAAGTGTCTAAAGTTCGTGCGAGTCTTCGTTCTCGAGATAAAATACATGTCTGACCCGTCACGTGCTCTTTCTACTTATTTTTGGTACTTCGAAGAATCGACGTTGGAACTCCATTACTTGATTCGATCGATTCTTTTTTAACAACGCCAACGTAAGTAGAAATAACGAGCGAATTTTATGAACAAATTTTCTTGCATATTTTCGATTCACTTTCTTACGTAGAACAATCGCATCTCCATTTGGGATCGGCGGTTGATCGTACACCATATACATATATTCAAGGATTTATAACCCCTTTGTAATCCCACGTCTAGACTCTCTGGACAATCCTTTCAGCTACTCCCGTGTCAAAACAGTCTGAGCGCGGAAATTTATGATAATTTATTTTTTATTTCTGAAAACTCCAAAGTAGAGGTGAAATTTTATTAAAAATCACGTCGTCATATTTACCTGCGCAAGGTTGTTTCCTTTATCTCGTCCCAATATCAGATTACAACCGCCATAATCTTCGTATTTCCCCGTACTAACGTTTGAAAATTATTTTTAACTTTATTTTCCCCGGTTGGATAAACCGAGAAGGGCGGAATTAACCCGCGGGGCAGACTTTGCGTATCTCCCGATTTAAAAAGTCCGGGAAAAATATTAATATCCACGGCGGTTCTATTCGAGAATGTTAATATAAATTTTATATAAAAATTTCGCTACGTTTTGACACGCTCGAGGCACCGTGCTCGGGCGCAACAATTAAACTTGATTAAAGTTACAACGCGCTTAATTTGAATAGTTAATTAACCGATACAGGGATACTCTGCAGGTTCATTAAAAAAATTACGTTTCCCGCGGTTCTTTTCGCGTTAGCAACAGATAGATCCCGCGAAGCTAGCTCCACTTTCAGTTCTCATAAATCACGAATCCTACCTGGAAGTAGATAACCTCGTTTTATGTTATCAACTAACCTTGTTCCAGTTTAGACTGACTTTCTGTACTCTGCTTACTTTAACCGTTTCTTTTTTTTCTTTCGCCTCGTAAATTACTGCTTCTATTTTCCCGTCCCGCGTTGATGGTACACGTTTCCGATTAAGACTTCGCAGCGAGTTCGCTTCGTCGTAACGACGCAACGTTTCGGTTTCTTCTGCTCCAGATTCGTTCTCTGGTCACCTTGCGTCTGTAATTCCTCGTTCAAGTTTCGCAAAAACGAAACACGACTCGTCGCGAAAACTGAACCTGCTCGCGCAGAGGCTGTCGCATGCGACGAAAACCGAAAAAAAAAATAACTGGAAATTCGGTGCCGCGCGCGGACCGTTGGCTGCATTTCATTTTCCCATTCGTTGGTCGCGACAGACGCAATGTTTCGCGCAAATAAACACGCGCAACTAAAATTAGCTCCCGGGTGATTGTTCGTCGGTTATTAGCGAAAGTTCATGAAATATTAAATACCCTATGAAAACGGAATTAATTTTCATTTCATTAGAGATGATTAATTCCGACGAAATTTAATTTTCTAATTATGACGCGATAAATTTAGCCGTGCCGCCGCGACGTTTTAAAAGATAACACCGCGCGTAGCAAAGATCAGAGATTTATTCAACTAATGAAACACGTTCGTGCTCTGGGTTGTCGCGTCGACGACTCCCTTCCTTTTCCTGGCTGCCCGATAAATTCATATGTAAATGGAAATTGTTACTTAAAAAATGTCTAATCAACTCTCGCCGGGAATCTCGAGAATCCTCGCTACGCACCGCCATCGAACGAATTTTTCGCGTAATAGAATCGCCACCGGCTCTGGTTTTCAGCCAATTTAATTACTTTCTGAGCCATCGGACGCACCCGGACCCGAAACGAACATGTCGCTTATTACAAGATTAAAAGTGGCCCGACCAGGGGGATAAAAACCGTTTCGTACGTTCTAATTTTCCACCCCTAACGCGCGTTGCTTTTTCTGATTCTACGAAACTGTGTTTATTTCCGAACTTCATCCCCGTTCAATTACTCGTTTGAACCTTTTGGGAACGGTTTCGAACACGTCCCAGCAAAAATCGAAGAGAAGTTAATCATTTTTTTAATTCTGAAGACAGTAAAACGGACGGTTGAAAAAATTGATCGTAATATCGCGGGTGAAATTACGCGGAAGAAACCCAGGAAGTTTCTTAACAAATGAGCGATAATGGGAGATTCTGGCTCGACAGTGGATTGGTGAAGTTTAAGTTCCGTCGTAAAGGTGTTCCAGAATTCAATCGACTCACGGTGGTCGACGACGTTTTCATAAAAAACTGCCAAAGTTTTATCTCGAGATTCGAACAGCCGCGAAGTACCTTCTCGCCTTTCTCTCGCCGATATTAGAGAGTTTTCTTTTCTCCTCGCGAACAGAAAAATTAAAATATCTTGTTTCGCTTAATTTCGTCCGATGTTAGCCGCGGCTCCGGGGCGAATTTAGAAGCTCTTCTCGACAGTTCGTAATTGCAACTGCGGGTCGCGGTGTATTTCGAAACTTTAAAAAACCCGGGACGAAAACTTTCGAAAATTAGTTAGTCTGGATCTGACCGTTTCAAAGGTAAAGAAACAATTGAGGTTTAACGCAGAAACCTTAATAAATAAGACGATTGATCCTGCGTTTACGACAAAGAGGAAGATCGTGTTATTTTTTAGGGCCGTTTGACGAGAACACTAAAGCGTCGTTGGACTAATTAAGCGAGGGACGAAGGGCTGAAAAGTTGTTTCACGAGCGTTCTAATTTCCTGTCGACTACGTGCACTTGTAGAGCCTTACTACATTGTCCCCGATAGCGATTGAATTATCATAAACGTGGCTCAGAGCTTGCACTCGGTGGCCTTGCCAGATACGCAACCTTCCTCGTCCAATTTTCCTACGTCCCATTAGGTTGCGGTCTAACAAACCCGCACACCGCAAGGTGGCCTAGAGTCCGAACATTTCGTAAGATACAAATCAGATTATTAATTCTCCTTCGCCATTAATTTTGCGGAATTGTATTTGCACTTCAGCGCATATATGCTTTGAAGCTTGTGGAAAGAGAACAGGAAACTCTGTATAATAATATATACCGACGAAACGATGTATGCGATTCTCAACCATTTCGTATCGTGAAATACGGTTGGCCACTTTCCATAAACTTTATAAATTTTCGCACGATTTTATTTTTATTTTCCCGCGCGTCTAAAAACGCGAAGAAACGCGACACCGGATCGGGCAGGTTTAACAGATATTTGCGAAAACAAATTTCGATAAAACTGTTAATTTTACAGCTTGCAAGCTTCGTAGAAAATTCGAAGGATGAAATTCAGCCACCGTTATCCGACCGTGTTTGGTTCTGAGCTTTATCCTGGAATTGTGTCAGTTTCATTTCGTGGGTCGAATATTTCCGCGACGCTATCCCGCTGGAAATTCACCGGAAACGCGGAAAAATTTAGCGCGAGGGCAGGGCTGTATTTAAATCGGCGAGAATAACGCGGTCGTCGGTTGATCGAGCTCGTTGGAAACTATAACCCCCCGAGTTTCGTGCCCGGAAATTTCTGGCCGAATATTCTGTAAACATTTAACAAACCCATTGGCAATTTTCCAGTGTCCCTTCCGACCCCTCGACCCCGTTCCGACCGTTTCCAGAAAGAGCAAGAGAACGATGTGATTTAAAACTCGTTACCTTTCGCCTGTCCCGGTGGGCGGAATACAAAATCCAGACAATGTAGGACACCATTATTATGAGTGGTATGCAGACGCCAGTTATGGTCGATGTGTCCCGCAAAAGGACATGATGCAGAGCGAGCAACGTGACCGCGAGCAACGCTCCGCCAGCGATGTATCTTCCGGTGCGTCGTTGTTCCTCCTGCCAACAAATGACAAATATCCGGTTAGCGTTTCGACAGTTCCCATTCCGCTAAATTTTTGTCGATGTCCTCGATATTTTTAGGGTTCAGTGTCCAAATTTCATTTCATCACTTTGGACATGAAGGGGTAAAATAGGTGAATTAGTATATCAGTTTAAAAGTATCACCAAGATTTCCCAAAGATTCATACTTCATAGAAACCAGGCGCTGAAGGCGATAAGTGGGGTTATTTTTATTTTCCAAACCATTATTTTCTCGATCCGACGAACGGTTACGTTGTTACATGTTCAAAGGAGGCGCGTGCACGACCAGATCATAGATCACGAACGAATATGTTCCTGTATATTTGCTCAAAATTAAAAATAGCTTGTTTAAATCTTTTTGAATGTTCCGAAAACACAAGATTCAAAGCGAATCGGTACTTTGTAGAAGCTGTTCTATTTATAAGGAATCCGCGCGAATCGTTATGCACTGTTTTTGAGGAAAATTCGAGGGCAGGAAAAAACCTGGAACATATTTCGTCCAAATTTGGTCGCTTAATAGGATTCTTCCGAGATTCTTTGAGTTATTTACGGTTATTTGCGAATTCGTCTCCTTCTCCGGGTTTTGTCGTATGTTTCACTTAGAATTGATACACCGTGATGCTGTAAACACGGCGATAAACAAGCGAAACAAAGGGTAACGGTTCTATGTTTCATAGAAAATAGACGATATACATCAGCGGAGGAAGAGTAACGCGAATGTAACAGCGTGATGGACGGGGGTTCGGTAAAAGTTGTTGCTATAAAATGCGATCCTGAAAGAGAAATACTCCGAGACTAAAAGGAAAATAAATACCGTGTAGGATGCGCGACGTGTCATCGAAATTGTAAAGATACGTGATCAGAAAACAAGAGGATCTTTCCGATCGCTGATTGCGTACTTTGATTAATTTTTCCAATATCGTTGGTCGTTCGTAAGCAGATCGATTCCCATACCGTTTCCATAACCGGAAGGAGTAAATTTATAGATGGTGGACAAACAACAAAGTACCTGTTTGAATGAGGAATAAGGGTCGCAAATATGCGGTTTGAGGTACGGTTGAGGCAAAAGGAGGTCACGCGGGACAGCGAGACCAAAAAATCCGAGGAACACAGAATGGGCGTGAACGAACCTCAGATCAATACGTTTCGGAAATTGCAGCAATTTTCAAACGTCATCGAAGTTTTAACACAATTGAAACTAAAAGCTCTGTCGTTTCCTCTCCGCGTGGGGAAGAAAAAGTTCAGAAACATCTTCAACGGTCGTCTTCAGGGCGAGAGCGAAAAAATGAAAAATTATTCCGTCAAAGCGAGTAACGAATCTGGTGTCACGAAGGATAGTATTGAGATACAAAGTCGCCTCGCGATAACGAGGACCACCCACGGACATCAAAGTTCGTTTAACCTCGAATCGAAGAAAGAGCCGCAGAAATTCCAAGCGAGGAAGGAGCATCGAATTTGTTTGTCCGATCGACGAGCGCGTGGAACGCAAGGATTTTTCGTTGGACGAGTTTTTCGCGGGCAACGAGAAAACGGGATATAAAAAAAAAAACGTCCCAGCCGGCTCGGACGCCATTAAATTTTCGGGATAACGATCGCGAGCGAAGCGACAGCTCCATTTCCATTCGCACGACGCCGATGCAATTTAACCTGTCGCGAGGCTATTTTGCATTCCGCGTCGGCGTACGTGTGCGCGTAAATACGTGTACCGGGGCGCGTACCGACGTTTTCCTATTATTATCATATTCAAATTGAACCGCCACCGGATGTAGATAGCCCCTCTGCACGGAGGCGGGACGCTCGGGCGATCTATTTCGCCGGTAAGCCGCGTAAGCAACGCCCGAGGCGCGCCTCGCAAATACGCGGCTATCAGTACCGTGTGCAGAAACTCACGATTCCGATATCCGTTTCCAGAATCCTGCGACGAGCCATTTTTACCTCCCCCGGGTCTCTCTTTCCACGGAAAAATCGTACCACGACGCGTCAGTTTTTCGAACGTCTTTCATTTTGCGAATCAATCTTGGGAACCGTCTCGTCGAAGCGCGACTGATTTTAAGAGAACCAGATCGCAGTTATTATGACAGTTGCTCTGGAACGCGCATTGAAACTTGTCGGAGACTCTGAAAGGATCGTCGTTGGGGAAAGTTCAAGCGATCCGAGCGCAAAGCGAGCACCCCGGAACGGAAGTCGCGTCGAACTGTACTAAATTTTCAATAGCGAACGAGAACGAGTCGCTGGAAAACGGTTGTCTTCGAAGTTTAGTAAACCTTCGTAACCGATAGATTGAAATTATTGCGTTTCGAAACGGTGGTAATTGAAATCTCCAAGCCGAGATGGGACTCGAGAAAGCAATTACCGAGTTTTTAAGAAAGTCCTTGTAACGGTTATAGAATCTTCGAAACTTTTGTTCAGTATTGTGTTACGGATTTGATTTGCAACACGGTCTCCTTATTGGAACTTTGAAAAATAGCGATAAATTTAAAAAAGAAACTAAAATTTCAGAGAATTCTCTTGGAAAGTGAAACGATAAAAACATGAAAATTAAAAATTAGTTTCTTAGCCTAATTTCGTATCAGACTATCGTGCTTTTATTTTCCCAACGTCTCGAACAGATATCCGTAACGCAAGCGAGCAAAAAGCCAAACATAGAATCGGCATTATTTTATATAATAAACGTCGTGTCGCCGAAAGATAATTACGTTCTCTAATCAAACTAACCGTGGTCGTAACAGTGTCGAGGGTGTCCCTCGAGGAAAAGTGTTCCGACCGAGGCATGGCCGTGACAATGACACGAAGCACCTTTCGTCGACAGACTTAAATAATCCACTGCGATGAAAATATCCCGTCGTATTCACGGACCGGTCCTTCTTCCTCCGCGAGCATAGATCACCAGGGTTGGCCCGCGATCGAATCTTCTGCATTCGAAACGAGACGAAGAATACATCGATGCACCAGGAAGACTCTCGTCGCGCGCATTTTATCGTTGAATTCACTCTCTCCGGTCGATGGGAAACGCGATAAAAAATTCCTCGGTAAAATTCGCGGGCATAGTCGGCGCGTCAAATGAAATGCCTCGTGTTCGCGGGAAAGACGCGGTTTAATTGGTAGACGCAACGACGCCGAGCCTCCGCGGAGGCGGACGAGTAATTGAAATTACTGGCGTCGCGAAAACACCGATGGGAAACGTGATCGCTCGAGATGCTCGCTGGAAACTTTTCGGACAAGATCATCCCGCGGCCCGTGAACTTTCGAAGAATTATCGAATCTGAGGACGCGAATTCGCGATCGATCCAGCGATGGATCCTCGAGCTCGCGCGACAGCGAGTGAAGTGAAGTCGCGAGAGATCGAACGCGGTGGATGTGTATCGAACGCAGTTTCGAGAACAGCGCCAGCCCCGCGCGTTTACAACGCTCCGGCACAATATAAGCGAGCGAAACCGGCTAGGATAATAAACGAATAACAGGACGGAGCAACACACCCACGGAGATAGACACGGCACCAAGTCCCTCAAACATGGTGCGCCGCGGATCGAAGATCGAAGCTGTGTGGCCGCACACTTTGCCAAAATTAGACGATCCTTTCCCGCTTCGCGGAATCCAATCATTACCGGTACGCAGGGAAAATTCCTTGGGTCGCTGAAGTTTCCTTCCGCAGACTGTGCGAAACGTAACTTTAGTCAGTGAATGAAAACAAAAATATACGCGGAGGAATTAATAAAAATTAATCGTAAATTTATGATCCGAATGAAACGTAAGGGGAAGTGAAAAGATTTTGCCAAGCAGAATAGTATAGCATTTTAGGAAATGGGGAAGAATAAAATAACTCTTGTTTACTGGTGGTTTTAGTACAGAACGGATATTAACTGGGAGCGAGTAATAATAGTAGACACGTAGGAAATGGAGGTTCGAAATTTATTAGTGTGGCGAACAGGTGCATCATCCTTGCGGGATGATAGATCGGAAATCGGTGAACCAAGCAGAACGCACGGACTAATTTCTTTTATATTTTTATATCGAATACCAGCCAGGGAAGCAACGGCAGGATAGAATGTTTGAACGAAATTCAAAGAATCGACAAAGTTACGAGAGTTTGAAGAAGATGGGATGTTGCCGCGCACCCGGAAACTTTTTAAAACGGGTTCTCTCGAAACCATATTTTTCAAGTTTGCGAGAGTGATATCTCGAAGCTAATACGATCCCCTAGTTGAAATTCTAACAGCTTACATCGAACATTGGAAATTGGATCGCTATCCATGCTTCTTGTATTAATAATATAAAACGCTGTTCTCGTTTGTTTCGCAAACAAAAACGGACGCTTCTCGATCAATGAAAGTTTTTATATTAAGAAAAAGAATCTCGTACGTTTCCCTTTCTCGTCTAGAAAAAGCACATGGTTAGGCGTTATGCAACCCAAGACTTATTACCGGACAGTAAATTAGAAGAAATCGTAAATCAAATCGAACGCAGTAACGTTAAACAGAAATAATAAACGGGTTAGTAACAACCGGGGCTAACGTTATTGATTTTAACACAATTTCGTTTGTATTTTTAACTCGGCTAATATTTCCTAGCGGCGATCACTACCGCAAAGGAAACAAATTTTATTAAGACGCGTCTGTTAAACAATATCCCTCCAAAATAATGATGAGTAACGTGTACGGATTTTCGAATATTTCGCGTTTCAAATTCTGTTGAACTAGAGACCATCTTGCGCCGCGGCGTTGATCCTGTTTAGACGCAGTGCGTCGGAAAGACGCAGTAAAGATCGCGTTGGCCGTGCTCGTTGAAACACAATTCCTTTCGTTTCTGCGGTTTGTTAAAGTCGGGAAGAATATTAAGCTCGTGATATCCGATTGAAAATACCGCGTAAATTGAGTTTTATTTGTCTGTAAAGTTCTCCCGGTTCCCTTTCTCTTCTATCCCGCTCGGGGTTTATGCTTTCAGGATTTGTAAATCCTTCCAGAGGAAACCGGCGGTATTTACATTCTTACTCCATTTATTTAACAGTGAAGCTTCCTTCTTGCTCTGTCACCGAAAATAATTATCTATTGTTCGTTACTTATGACAGAATATTTAAAAAAAATATGTATCTTGAATTGAATAAAGAGCGAGAAGTAAACGAGAAGCATATATGTGGGCAAATAATGTACAGAAAAAGTTACAATGCGAGGTTTTGAACAACAGTCGCCTTGAATTGTTAATACGAAGCTCGAAGTAAAGAACGCTTATATGCATGGTATGAATCGCAAAAAAGGTCGACGGAATTATTAGCCAGCATGCTCACGCAATTTATGCAATTGTATTTCCCGTACAGCGTGGAACGCGGTTCTAAATAAAGTAAGTCATGCTGTCTGGGATTTGTTGAAAGTACAGGCAGTTTGCACTGTTAAGTATAACCCCGGTTTCTAATTGGAGTTACGGTAAAAAAGAAGAAAAATACGTTTTCGAAATTAATTTCTCAGTTTTTAAAAGTTTGTAGATATAAACTTCAGTTTTCGGTAGAGATATTCCAGGTTGGAAAATATCATAAAATTATTTTTCTTAATCATAACATGTTAGAAAATAAAGTTACGAAATAATTATAATGCATTTAAATGAACTTTAGTAAAACAATGTTTTTCAGAATATTTTCTAAACAGGACATCGATACTTAATGGATTAATAAGACTGTAGCCTTCAAGGCCAATATTCAATCATTCTTTCGGACAGAGTTCGGCAGTAATTGATTACTTCGGTAATCAATTGATATCAAATTAAATTTTGACAGTATTATCAAACTTTCTACTTACGGTTTCGATCCTACGCGTTCCAGATTATCTTTAGAAACGAATCTAAGAACAGATCATATATCGATCTCGAAAATTTGGTAATGATATATGTAAATTACGAATATACAGGATCACATTCGATTGCTAGGTCGAAGAAAAATAAAAGAATCGTCCAAGAATAATCAGATCCAATTTTGGCCGTTGTTTCGAAAGTGCTTCCGTTCCTTGGATCGACTGTCGGGCTCCGGTGTACGTCGCGACAGGTTTTGAATCAAAGAGCGAGGATAATCGGACAAATTGAACGTCCTCGTGAAACGACCATAACGCGATCATTTCATGGAACCGCAGCTGGCTGGAATGCCCCGACGTTACGACTCGACGTTGTTACAGTTTCCGTCGAAACGTTCTAATGAAGAAATAAAAGCGTTCTATATCGGGCCGCCACAAAACGTTTCACGATCGAATAAAAGACTCGTCGAAGCCGTTCCATCGGGCCACGGCAATAAGGCCGTGGGATATTCGATCAGTTTCTTCCATTTCTGACGCGGGGCTTGCGACGTCGTCTTAGGACCGACGATTACGCGATGATGTTTCCGTGTATCCCGGTTCGTTGGCTTTTTTCCCCGCTGGGGATAAGGAAAAAAAGAAACGACGAACGTGTCCTTTACGAGCGGACTCGACCCTTAACGACGCCCCGAGCATCGATTCTGTGCCAGGCATACAGATCGATCTTAACCGAGACAATCCTGGCGTGGAATTCCGTCCACGTAGGATCAGCTTTTCAATCATATATGAGCGACCGTGTCGTTTCGCGGAAAAATCACTGGTAAACCGGCCCGTTTATGCACGATCGAACGATGTCCGGGAATCCTCCGGGTTAAGTAACGTCCCGGGAAGATGGCCGACCTCTGGCCTTAATGGAGGAGGGCACGGTTGACCGGCGGAATGATAACTGGCACACCAACGATCCTGGAGAACTTTTCGCTGCTTGTTCCCTTTTTTTTTGCCTGCTCTTTTTTGGCTTGCTCGCGATGCCACGACCCAGTTGCTACACGCGTCCAAGATCGAGACTAACGCGATCCATCTTCGAGACTCGCGCTCCTTCCCCGGCGAGACTTCGCGCAGAAGTTACTTCTCGCGATATCGAGACTGAAACTGGCCCTGCGATACGCGGATCTCTTAAACATTTTCTCGTACGGTTGGAAGAAACTGTGATATACTGTTTGTTTATGAACGTGCACGAAATTTCTAAGCAACACGATGATATTGTCCACGAATCGCAGGAACCTCGGACCCGGGACCCCAACTCTTATTATACCGTTTTGCATAGGCTTTTACTGCCAACCCTGTTGTCTGTTTTCCAGAAGACAAGTCTCTCGTTTGACAATTTCCTCTATATTTTATTCACAGACTTAATTATTTAAATAAATTCATAGAATAGTCGCTCTTTTATGAACGAACTTTATTCGTGATCTTCGAAAAAACGTTTGTTCCAGCAAAACACGATATTGAATTTATTTTCAAATCTACAGAAACTTTATTTAAATGTTTATTTGATTAACGTTCGATCGTGTACGTATGCGTACGCATACATCTTGTGAACGGTTGTTTCGAACTTACGTTGTGAAAGCGTAAAGTATCTTGAAAATTATCTCGGGAATAATAATAGCAGAAAATTAAAACCGTTATACCAATATTTTTGCTAGTCATTATGAGATCACACCGATATTTTCACATCTCCACAGTGACGAGAATATAAATAGGGAAATGTTTATTTTCAAATTCGACTGTCTGTGATTTCACAGATCTTGTCTTTATTCGTTTATATAAGATACAGTTACAAACTGCGTTCTGTGTTATTTTAAATAACCATCGTTAAGAGACTTCGATATTTTATTTAGAACGTCCAACTACGTATATTTACGCGTCATAGGGGAGACAAGAATTTCTCGTGTTCATTCAATAGTTTAAATCTATTCGCGTTTGTTTTGTTCGACTCGTTTCTCCACATCATTTCAGTCGATATTCCAGTAAATCAATGACAGCGAACGGAAGTGAATGTATATTAAATATATCGACTTAAACATGTTGATCCACGGTTCTCTTTACTCGACACGTTAGACCAGGGCCACGTTTATAGTCATTTCTGTCCACACCATCAAAGGATCCTCGCTTCCTTTGAATTAATGGTTTCAGAAGCATTTCATTTAAGCCATCGCCTTTCAACGCTGAACGTTCGTGTTTCCCATCAGAACCAAAACGATTAAATTTTGATTCGTCGCTGAAAATGTTCCCGCCTCATTTTGGTTTCCAATCATCGTACGGTTTAACGAAGCACATTCCTCCAATTTTATTTAATCGAGACTAGATTTTTACGAACACATTCTTCTTTCTGCCGAAATTAACTTCGATCGTGCATAACGGAGAAACATTGATTTCCGACTGGGCTTATAATTAAATTTTGAAACGATCCACTTTTCCTAGGAACTCGTTAACTTGTTAG